GAAAATGAATTCTGCTTACATCAGTAAACATGTAGGAGTTGTGCTTCCAGACCTTACAAAGGATGCTAGCAAGGTATGGTTGAAACAGACCCGCATGTAGAAGCTCATGTTGCCATTTAGCCATTTTAACTGAGCAAAAGAACCACCTAGATATGACCTGAACCCCAATTCCATCCTAGAATGGTTAAAGGAATAATTTCCATTGAGGATATTAGAGGGCAAATCCCTCCAGTGATGACAACACAAACCACCCCCCCATTCTCCTAACTGATTGTTCTATCTTGAAAGCATAGGTTGTGAAAAATGACAAAATAGTCCTGGACTATTTGCCTACCAATACTGAACTGACTCAGTTAGGAGCCATCATCTCATCACCTCTGCCAAGAGATACCAGACAAAAATGTAAAATTCTAACTTTTATTTAAAATTGAGGCAGTTTACAGAGGGGATTTCTACAATCGCACCTTATGGTGCAACCTCAGATAAGTACAGCCCTGTTTTTCAAATGACTTGTCTTCTGTTTAGGATTACAGGGAAGTAGGGCTGGAAGGAATCTCACAAGGTCATCTAGTCCAGTCCCCTGCTCCAGAAAGGATCATCCCTGACTAAATCAATTCAGCCAAATGTCTGTCTAACTTATCCTTGAAAAATGCTAAGGATGGAGATTCCACAACTTCTCTAGGGCGCCTATGTAATGTATGTGAGCCAGAGAGAAGTCTGCAGAGCTGTGGTGACTGTTAATGTAAATTACAATTCCCAGAAATACCCAGGGGCTGGGGGGACAAAGGAAAAAGGAAGAGGAAGCTTGAGGTTGGCACAAAGGGAAAAGAGGGAGTAGTGTGTATGTGGAGCCTGGTCAGCCCTATGCAGAGGAGTGCACAGTGGAGCTGGAAATCTCACTGGCTCAGTCAGTCCGAACAGTGGACTGAAGAGCTGGACTCAGACTTAGGGACACCTGTAGGCTGTTGTTGAGCAGTCTAGGGGCTAAAGGCTTGCCCAAAGGTGTGGGGGGAAATTAAGGTGCTGAGTATTGGTTATCACAGTGTTGATATTTCTTTATCATTTACCTGTTCCCTCCTTTTGTCCTGTTTGCTTTTGACCCTAACCCCTATATAAACATGGGATCTCCCCCTTGCTGCTTGTGCCAGTATCTGGGGCTGCAGGGTTGGCACACCTGTTCCAATGCTTGACCACCCTCATAGTCAGACCGTTCCTCCTAATCCATTGGTGACACATGGGGTGCATGTGGGTGCATGTGAGCCCCCTGAGATTGGCTGCGCACCCCCTGGAAGTGCTAGCCACAAAACCAAAAGTGCAGGTGGAAGCGCACTTCCGGTTTAGCCGCTGGTGGTTCCAGCCTTGGTGATCGGCCGCTGGGAGACCTCCCCCAGCCAGCAATCTGGTGCCCCTGGACTCAGGAAGCACCAGTCACCCATGTCCTAATCTCTAACCTAAATTTCCTCTGCTGCAACTTGAAGCCATTGCTCCAAGTCCTACCCCCTAGAGCCGCAGGAAAAAGCCCTTCTCCATCCTCTGTAATCACCCTTCAGGAATTTGGAGGCTGTTTTCAAATTCCACTTCAGTCTCCTCTTTTCCAGATTAAAATAACCCTAGCTCTTTCAGCCTTTCCTTATAGGTCTCATCTTCCAAGCCCTGATCATTGTTTTGCTCTCTGCTGGACTCTTTCCAAATTGTCCACATCTTACTTGTAGCATGGGGCTAAAAACAGTACTCGAGGTGAGGCCTCACCAGTGCTGCACATAACAGACAAGTCACTTCTCTTGATCTTCTTCTCGTGTCTCTATAGCACGTTTGACCATTTTTTTTACACATGCTTGTTTGTTGTATTTTGCAAGGTCTTTCATTGTACATGCACCTTCATGTACTTCTCTTGATTCATAGCAAGGATTCTGCTTTTCTCTGATTAAAAAAAATCCCAATTCTCAGATTTCAAAAAGTAACCCAAAATCCACATTAATCACAAAAATTTTTTAAAAAGTAACACAAAATCCACGTTAATCACAAAAATTTTTTAAAAAGTAACCCAAAATCCACATTTTTTTGTGATTAAAATGAAATACCACTATATGGTGTTGATCCAACACCACTGTATGGTGTTTCATTTTAATCATGGAAAAATGTGGATTTTGGGTTACTTTTTTTAATCCAAAAATTGGGGATTTTATTTATCAGAGAAAACCAGGATCCCTGTTTATAAGTAAGGGTGTACCCAACTTGAGGAGGCAGCCAGCCAGTTTTGCAGGGAGATCATAAGGCTGGCCGCCATTTTTGTGAGCTGACTGCAGCAGGGCCTCCCCATGCCTCTGATTGGCCAAGGGCCCCCAGTGGCTCTGCCCCTCACCGCTGATTGGTTGAGAGCTGTCCATAATATGGCCCTGCCCCTCACTGCTGATTGGTTGTGAGGGCTGTCCATCATGCAGCCTTGCCTTATGCCACTTATTAGTGGATGGGGTGGGACCACATGACTGGCGCCCCTCTCAGCCAATTAGCTGTGGGGGGCAGGGGCGGCCATCATCATGGGCTTCCCTTCGTGTGGGCAGCCCCTTTCCTCCTTCCCCCCCAGTAAGCTGCATGGCTGGGCTACCGGAGCCATGAGGACCGCTGGCTCCATCTGGGGAGCAAGCATTTTGTTTTTTGTAAGTTTTTTTTTCCCCACAGATTTTGCAGGCATTGCCTGATTTCGCAGACAATGCTGGATTTCGCAATTTCTGCGAAATCTGCAAAATTGCGATTTGAGTAGGTCCCTATTTAGAAGTGACACTCCTGTTAACATACCCAATATGCTTTTTTGCAACAAAAACACACTATTACCTTGTATTCATCGTATGCTTCAAGTAACAAAACTGTGATCCCTTAAAATGACTATCTTTCTTCATAAACTGACACTAAAATGAAACATCATATTTTCAACCACTTTCCATGAAAACGTATTATGGAAATACTCCTCTAAGTGCTAGCCACTTGCTAGGGAGAGCGCAGTGGGATTTTCTGAGTACATGCTAATTTGATTTTCCTTCTATAGCCAGAATACTTTAGAGTGAATTACAACAGCACTTTGATCTTGGGTGGGGACGAGGAAGGGAGCAGCAGGAGGGGAGAAGAAACATTGAACCAAATTCTGATCTTGGTTAAACCAGTATCAGTCAGCTCCACTGAAAAGTTACTCTGATTTAAAGTGATGTAAGAGAGAAAAACATTTGGCCCATTGAGCACAGTTTAGAGCCATATAAACTGCTGCCAAAAACAATTTTCTTTCTTTACTTGGAAATTTTATGTGTATACTAAGAAGTGTAAATGTACATGCCTTGCAGGAATAATTACAAACATTAACATTTTCATAATTATTTTCTTCATGGTGGCTTTCTGAAGTGTTACATTCCAAAATCTAAATTGTTTTTGATTTCATATTTCTCAGGTACCAATGACAGCCAAGAAAGATTAATGGAATATTGCTGATCTTAGTCACTTGGAACTGACTTCCTCTTGCTCAGTCAAGCTAATTTCCCTTCCAACTGTTGTGATCTTTCATAATTTTCCCCATAGAAGTATGTCTAATATTTCCATTTCCAGACCTGCTGCTCAATATTGCAGTGCCCAACAGTACCACCTCTCTCTTTTTAGAGAGGAGGGAGACTGGTACCAGTTTGGGCTAATCCAGCAGTCTTATTCCAATGAGTAAAAATTGCAAGACTGAATGCTTTTATTGTGGTCTTTCTTCGGCATAAAACTAGACTCTTTGGGCGCATCTACACATCACCCTACATCACCATAGCAATGCACTACATCACCGTATGGCATGCTACAACAACATAGTGATCATGTGAGTCTACAAATGACTGGCAGCTACCTCACCATAGTGGCACGCTCCCCTGTTTTAGCATTCCACTCTGGTGAAGTAGTGGTTAAAACTAACCATGTGCCAAAAGGAAGTGCTAAAACACAGCACAGTAACAACGTCACCATGGGGTGACCTTTTGGGTCACATCCTAAGCTGGTGGTAGATCAGCATAACTCCACTGACTTGAGTTGAAGGATCTGACCCTTTATCTTGCAGGACAAAGAACTCAAACACAAAGTTTGACAATTAATTAATTTTCCATTTAACACAAGGTGTTCTCTAACATTTTTATCATCCTCTGTGTCCATACCACAACCATAGCAGAGACACTTTAAACTAGCTACCGTGGGTATTGGTAACTGTGCAGCTACAGCACCCGGGAGCTTTTCATAAGCTAATTTGACCATCTTCTTACATGGGTTTCACAGCCTGTGCTGTGTTCCATACTGTCACAGGAAGACTATTCATCATATACCCAAACTAACTATTTTAAAGCTAGACCCAACATGTCTACTTTAACGTGGCTAAACAGTATACTCATGGGTCTGGTATTGTTCCATGATTTGCTTTTCCACATATGACTCAGACTCCACAATGCTCTTCAATAGTAGGGAAAAACATCTGCTGGGAATGAAACTCAGCATTCAGTAACTTTCATCCCAGTGTCTTGTAGTAATGTTCTTTATCCAGAAAAGCATAGCGATATTGTAAGATGTAGAGGCTACCTTTATATACTGTGATATGCAAAGACTGAAACAACAATTCCCCAGAAGTATTCTTCTGCTCAGTGAAAAAACACTATGCCGAGCACTTCCAAAGTAGTTTGTGGACTGAGGGGAACACAGTTACCTTCAATAATAAATATGTCAAAAATAAGTTTAGCATGAGGAAATTCCTGTGCTTTTGATCCAGTATGTGACTAAGAGTTTCTAATATATGCAGAAATAAACAAAGAAAAGTTCTTTGGTTTAATGGCTTGGGGAAAAACACTCACCAAAGTGTAGAACTTGTTCATAATAAATGTAAAACAACATGCTTTTGAGTAATGCTCTTTGATTGTTATCCTATGACAGCAGTATTCCTGCTAGAGAAAAGCATCTAGTCTTAAAAAAGAAAGAACAAATGCATTTTACAGTCTTACCTGGTGCAGATTTAATTAATACAACCAAGATCCAGCTGGGAAATCAGTCTCTGAATAAAGTGCTAGTAGTAACCAATTCAAATAAGGCAAGAGGTTTCGCAGGTGATGCAGGTCAGGGACAGTCAGGTGGTGAGTCCTGTGTTTGTGAAAAAATGTTCATGAGTATCCAGCTCTGCTGAAGTGTGCTGACATACAGGATAAACCTTCCACTGTCAGTCCACGCTCACTTTGCTGTGTCAGAAAACTTCCCAAGAACTCTTCATTTGCTGTCTTCTTTACAGCGTGGGAGTTTCAAAACTACAGTGAGTGTAAATGGGGCTAGCTTTCTGTAGAAACTCACTCACACCACCTAGAGGTGTACTGAAGCATCAGAAAAGCCTGCAATGACCTGACAGCTGCTCTTTTTCCAGCTTCCCCCCATGACCCTCATTTTTATACATCTTGGGTATGTCTACACATGCACTGCCACTGCACAGTTGCTACTGCACAGTCATTTAGTACTTGCTTTAGCTAAAGGATAACTTTAGCTAAAGCAAGTACTAAATGACTGTGCAGTGCCCACTGGTACTGTGCAGTCACAGTGGCGCATGCATCTTTTCCGACCCTACTGCACAGTAGCAACGAGCTACTGTGCACTAGCTTGTTGCTACTGTGCAGTAGCAGCAGTGTCACAGTTACTGCCCACTGACGCTACATCACCGTAGCTCATCACTACAGGGACATAGTGTCTCGTGTACATGTGCCCCTTACGTACTTCTTCCAGCTTTGCTCCTCTCGTTTACCTGCACACAAATCACTTCAAGATAAAAAGACTCCTTTTTATGTAACAGGCACGGAGAGGCAAAGCATAACAGTTGTAACAGAAGAACCTTGATTTTACAAAGGTCTCAGGGATGGAGCAAGTTGGAAATTTTGTGATTGAACACATTTCTGTCAGCCAGTGATGCTTCATCAACTTCAAAATATTGAACAGAAACATCTCAATTTGGCGGGGACATCCGTGGAGACCAAAGGGGAGGAATCTATCTGAAATCTGCAGCTCTTCCTTGCTCTTTGGCAATGGAGCTAGGGTCACTGGGCTGCACCATCGGTGGGTCTTTCCAGTATTGGGGATTTGCCTGGCGTGCTCTAGCTTACAAGAATGAGTTGTGGGAAGCTCAGGAAATCTCTGTGAATCATAAGCAGCCAATGGAGTGAACTGTTTTCAAGGGGATACCAAACTTTTGCAAAACCAGATGTCCCTAACATTGAGAAATAACCTGCAAATATTTAGTACAGCATTAAAATTCAGCCCATTAAAATTACAAATATATTTTTGGGTATCTAATTTCAAATGCCGTTAATTCAAATATAATGAGGAGTTATAGTAACACAAATATTTCTGTGTACATCCACATCTAATGTCAAAGTTTTGCTGAGTTTGGTGATTCTATGAAGAATATTTTTCAGATTGGGTGGAGGAGGCTGCCAGCTCCCATGGCATTTTGTAAATTCAAGGTTCATAAGATTTGGATTCTTCTTTGTGTGAAATCCTTGCTGTCAAAAAACTTCACAACTGACCTTGCCACCACCAAATTCATAAGCAAAGGTGATAGGCAAAATGTGCGTACATTGTGGGTGTCAAGTACCTGTTCCCATTGCCCATCACTTTCCTTACCTCTTTAACTCCATATCTGTAAGCCAGTTTGAAACTGTATTTAAAGACTATTTTATCTTATTAAGGATGCTTTTGATTTAAGTCTTTCCAACTTCCCAAAAACAGTGATCCCAGCAGAGGTATGCATATGTAGCAGAACCTGACCCCAGGGGTTGCTGTGATCCGCGGGAGGGAAACCACTAGAGTCCTATGCTTGACACCTCTCTGGGCTTTCAGACCCTCTGGGTCCTACACTCAGCACTTCTCTGGGCTCTTGGACCTGCTGGGTCCATTTTAAAGGGTCAGGTGCACTAAGTGTCTTGCCACAGCATATACTTTTGTGTTCAGAAGAGAAAACCTCATAGCTGGCAACAGACACCAAATGGCTGAGATTGCTTCAGTTTTACCACTTCCATTTGGGTTGACCTGGGTTTTCCTGACTAAAGTCCAAAGACTATTGGCAGTATGTTTGACAGCTCATTGTTATCCTTTTCAATTGCTTCCCTTAGCCAAGTGGTTCCCAGTTCTATTTCCTGGTAGGCCATGGAGGTTGAAGTGGGTGCAAAAGAAGGGGCCGCAGAACAACCAGGAAAAGATAAGTTTGCACTTCTTCAGAGCAACAAAATCAATTCTTGAGAAGGAGTAGAGCAGGGGTGTCCAACCTTTTTGAATATGGGGCTAGATCATGAACTTTTAATCACCCAGCGGGCCAGTGAGCCATATTCAAAGACCTCACAGGAAGTGGTATCACATCAGGAAGTGATGTAACGTGACCTTTGACACCAATGAAGTTGCAGGAAGTGACAATGAAATGAGAAGTCTGGAAATGTGGTTTAAAATCCAAAAAAAAAAAAAAAAAAAGCAACAATGAAATAATACCAAACACCTGACTAAAAAAAACACTTTCGCTTCTACTCACTTCTCAGTGAATGAAAGAAGCATAATGCAGGCTTGCCCTGGGACACCTGAGCTTACAGCACCATGTAGAGTGCACCCGCCGGGCCTCGATCATACGATCCCGTGCTGCCCGGCCCAAGGACTTGGTGAAAACCTTGCGCTCCGTCCCTTAAGGGAGGTGTCACCGATCTCTTGGTTCAGGCGGTCTTTTCCCCTCCTTATCCCATCTGCCACGACTTTGATGATATTTCAGTGGTGGAGGGGTACGACTGTCTGATCCTGGTGGCCCCCCCCACGGCCAAGGCATGATGTTCTTCGCGAGGCTCCAACCTCCCCTCTACCTCGTCCTATCCCAGCCTCAACGGTGTGCTATTGTGGTTGCCAACGACCTACCCCTACTTGATGTAGGGTCCTTCCTGATTTTAGTCCGGCCTATGAAGAGGGCCTGATAAACCCAGACCTTTTTCTGACTCGTGCATGCTTAGGGGCCCTAGCTCCCTCTGGCCGTGATGCTCTCCAGTAACAACACTAAGAGCAAGAATGGAAGTGATATCAATGCTAATGAAATAACAATAATAGTTCCACCAAAAGGCTACGGTGACCTTACTTCCACACACCTTCACAATCTTCCTTATATCAATGCCCAGGCATGCCTAGTGCAGTACCATCCCCCTTAAACCCCACCTATCCTTCCCCTTACGGGCTACTATGTAAGCTTGGTTGGGGATTTTCTCACGTAAGTATGCCCTCTATGTTCCCGGATGAACGAGTCCTCCCTCGATGGGGTTCCAGTCTGTGTCTTCGGTTGAAAGGGTGAAGGTCTCAGTTGGCCCTCTTGTATGAATACCTCTTGCTTTGTACTTCTGCTGGCCTTGAACCCCCGTTGATACGGTCGCTCCCTTTGGCTCCCCTCGCAGCCCGAGGGTTATATACATCCAGGATACCAGCGTCTTCTTGGGTCCGCCGGCCACGTCTCTCCCTGGGCACGGTTCGGATATCTTTTGTGAGCCCAGCACAGCCTTCCCTATTCCCTCTACTGCCTTAGTGGCCCCGAGGGCTCTTCTCTCGCCACTCTCTTGCCTCCTCTCTTTCCCCTCGATCCACCTACTTCCCCTTCTTATATTCCTAGGTTAGTTCTCCTTCCCCTCTCTCCCAGCTGTTTCCCCTTTAAATAAACCATGGCTAATGAGTTGCATGGGTTCTGCCGCCTCTTTCCGCTCCGCCGTGTTTCCCGCCGCCGCGCCTTGTGCTGCCTGTGAGTTGTTTTTACTCATTCTTCCTTTGTCCTCCCTCTCCCTTGGGTGTGCTGTTCCCCAGGGTCCCTCTTTAACCCTTCGGGGTTCAAGTCTCCCCCTTGTCCCGGGACATAGAGGAATCCGTGGAGGAGCAGCCAGCTGTTGGCCTCCAGCAGCAGCAGTGAGGAGGAGGAGGAGGAGGAGAAGCAGCGCCTCAGGACGCTGCCCGGCTCCACTGGGGATGATGAGCCTGGTCTTCACACATGGCCACGTGTGTGCAGCCCACCTCCCTCCTTGCCCCCAGCTCCCATGGAGGAGGAGAAGGAGAAGGGCATGAGTGTGACCTTGTGCTTCCTCCTCACGAGTACATGCATGCATGTGGCACCCCCACATGGGATCCTCAGCATCCCACCCAGGGACAAGGCCCCGCTGACAGCCGGGCAGCCATGTTTCATGCTCACGCTCTCATCGCTGCACTGGACCACGCCTCCACACCCCGCACTGCCGCTTCCCCGCCAATGCAGTGCAGACTGCCCCTGGTGCGGGGCTTAAAGGAGCCGCATCATGGGCGTGGAGGCCCGGGCCCTTGGATCCACCTGGTGTGAGTTCACCCACCCCGGCCTCCATGGCTGCAGTCAGAGAAGCTGATAGAGGGCCCTGCTCCCCCCGGGAAGAGGGTCAGTAGTCACTGGGCAGCCAACTGCCTCATAGTCTGTGTTTGCTGGTCACCTGCTGAAGGGCTGGGGGAGGGACAAGGGGTGGGAACAAAAGTAAACACTGTTTACTTTCGTTTCCCATTGCAGCACCTCAGGCCTCAGAAAATGGCGTGGCGGCCATATGTTGGACAAGCCAGGAGTAGAGAATGTAGAGCCATGAAGGACAAATGGGTAGTTATGGGTACACTGGGTGAAAAGTAACAACTTGCTTTTCCCAAGGGATAATTTATCAATATAAGCATTGGAGGGATTTAGAGTTATCGTGTAAACTAAACGGAGTCATATTTTCTCTATGCTTTTTTTCCAGGCTTCTACTGAGAAAAACAAAAATTCGCCAGAATATGGAGGCCCTGAAAATCTATCTGAATTAGACAAATATAGGATAGTTTTGTGATACAGTCTACTGGCTGGAATCCTGCTTCTATGAAGGGTTCCACTGACTTCATTTGAGCTCCATATCTTCACAGCATCTACGCTGACAAATCCCTATGCAATCCTGACCTGATACTGGGGGTATCTACAAGTGCACTTTACAGTGGTGCTAATTAGCTCCACGGCAAAGCGTCACCATCTAAACGTGCAGTGCTTTTAGGCCACAGTAAAATAATCAACTCTGCTGTAGGATAGTACTACCCGACACAAGTACTATCCTATGGCAGAGTTATTTAGTGCCCTATAAATGTGTAGATGGTGACCAGGGTTTGCTGGAGCATGAGGATGCTACAGTGCAGGCTCTGCCAACTGTCCTCCACAGCACACTGAGCCCCTCCATGGCTGTTCCTTGTGCAGTGTGCTCTTGAAGAGGAGGGCAACTGCACGCCTGCATCCCTTCTGGATCTGCCCCTGCTGAACCACATTTTATCTGAAACTCA